TCCTGAATCTGGTATACTATGACTGCTCCCCTGGGATTCAAGATCCACAATTTGAGTGGCTTGACTATATCATAGAGCTTCTACGTCTGTTTCATGGAATTACAGAATGGTTGAGGGTGACAGTCATTGTATGGCTACGGGACTGGTGCCAAAGGCAGGGGTTTGGGTTTTTCAATCATAGGCTGCTATATGAGACACCTGATTTGCTGGTGGCAGGTGAGATACATCAGTCCCAGAGGGGGAGAAGGTTTCTGGGGCAGGAGTTAGCAGGGCTCATTGACAGGGCTTTAAACTAGGTAGGAAGGGGGAAGGGGAGATAACTGGGCCTGTTGGGGACAAGCCCAAGAGAAACATGCTAGGGCTTGAAGAATGGCAGACTAGGGAGAACTCTCAATCTATTCTTTCATTTGAGGTAAAGGGTAGTTGTTTAAACCCTGTCCTGCAGGGGAAAAAGGGTACCTGGGCAAGAGTTAGTAGAGCTCACTCACAGAGCTCTAGGGTAGATTTGAAGTGCGAGGGGGTTGTAGCTGGGTTTGAACTAGTGGGGCAATGTTCTAGTATGAATGAAGACCAGAAGGCCTCCCGCCTTCCAAGGGTGCCACTAGCGTGCTCAGCTCGCTCCCTGAAAAGCCTGTATACGAGTGCACACAGCATGGGGAATAAACAGGAGGAGTTAGAAGTCTGTGTGCGGTCTAAAGGTTATGACCCGGTGGCAATTACAGAGACATGGTGGGACAGCTCACATGACTGGAATGTGGTCATGGATGGCTATGTCCTTTTTAGGGAAGATAGATCAGCAAAGCAAGGTGGTGGAGATGATCTTTATGTGAAAGAGCGACTAGAATGTATTGAGTTCTGTCCAGGGGCAGATGAGGAGCAAGTGGAAAGTCTGTGGGTGCGAATTAAGAGACAGGCTGGTAGGGGTGGCACAGTTGTGGGGGTCTATTATAGACCTCCTGATCAGGACGAAGGAGTTGATGAGGCTTTCTACAGGCAATTGAAAGCAGCCTCATGACTACATGCCTTGGTCCTTATGGGGGATTTTAACTACCCTGATATTTGCTGGAAGACTTACACAGCCAGTCTTTCACAGTCTAGGAGGTTACTCCAGTGCATTGATGATAACTTCTTAATGCAAATGGTGGACAAACCAACTAGGAGAGGAGCGCTGCTGGATCTGGTACTCACCAACAAGGAGGGTCTGGTTGAAGTAGTGACGGTCAATGGCAGCCTGGGCTGCAGTGACCACGAGATGGTGGAGTTTAGGATCTTGTGTGGGAGGAATAGAATACCTAGCAAGGACACATTTCTGGATTTCCAAAGGGCAAACTTTGGCCTCTTCAATCAATTGCTAAGGGAAGTCTCATGGCAAAGGGTACTAGGTGGTAAAGGGGCTCAAGATAGTTGGTCGGCATTCAAGAACCACTTCTTCAAAGCTCAGGATCAGAGTGTCCCAATGAGTAGGAAGTCAAGTAGGGGGGCCAAGAGACCAGCATGGTTAAATAAGGAACTGCTGGGCAAACTTGTACGGAAAACTAAGGCTGTTGGGAGGTCAATAAGAGGAACTGCTTGTTTAAACTAGTTGTCAGGTGTGTTTCACATCTGAAGTATTACATTTTTTCGCTTAACTCTTAGAACAAAAATATGCATTAGAATTTGTCACTAACAGTGTTGTCTGACGTGAAGAAATATGTAAAAAAATGTGTTGTTTTTTTTCTTTTATAATGTAGGTCTGAAGGAACCAAAGCAAATTTTACTTCTTCAGTAAAGAACAGTATAGCACAACAATATACAGATATCAAAACCTAGTAGAACCATAATATAAATATTGTTTAAGAGCAGGATACTAGTATGCTGTAGCCTCATTGGGCTTGTTTATCTTACTAAAGCATAATCCATTCACTTTAAAACATCTTAGAGCTCATTTTTTTGAGGTTCCTAATTGTATGATAAGGTACAAGAATGTAATGAGGTGGGTACACTATGAAGAGTTTAGTTATAATTTTTTTTTTTTAACAGAAAATAGGTTTGGCTGCAACATGATGTTAATAATAATTCTAAAATTGCTAATAGAGCTCTCCACAAGAAAACAAAATCTGACTGTTTTTGTAGCATTTTGATTTCTAAAGTTGCTTTTATTTTTATAGTGAATTCTTTGGAGACTTGACTCAAGAAATTTCATTTGCAGTAAAATTAGTGTTACCAGAAATATAGATATCATATATATTGCCCTTCCTGTGGATTTTATAGTGTCGGAGCTCAACTTGGATGACTTTGATTACTTTAGTGGAGGTTTAACTCATAATTTTCATGTGTAGTCTTTAAAGATTCAGTCTCAGCTAAGAGAGGTTATAAGCATTTCCAATAAAATTGTTTGTTTTGGGGAATTCTCATCTGCAAAAGACTGCAACTCACGCACTGAATTAAAAATGTGGAATAAGATTTTTGAATGGAATAAATATAAGCGACATCTGAGTGTTAACATGCTTGACACACAGCTGCAAGAGCTAATTTGTATAACAAGGGCACTACAGGTTAGGAGTGTAGAAGAAGAGTACTGCCATAGGAAATGTTTGATGGTGTAAGGATATGTTGGTTTGTTCTTTGCTCAAATCTTTTTCAGTTAATTACTTTAAAAACATGGAATGCTTTTTTCCTTTTTTTTTTTCTTTTTTTTTACAGCCATTTAGATCTAAGCTCTTTCTTTTCTGATCAGTGTTGTCATATTCTCTACCATTTTGTTTCCAATACTTTAATTTTAGCTTGTTTGAGACCAAGAGTTATATCTATATTTGAAAAATGCCTATGCTAATTCACATTTTCATAATACATTTTGTGTTTTGTATTTGAATGATGATCAGCATGATGTTATATTTTTATTTTACTGCTCTCCTTTCTATTTAAATTTCTGATATCATTGAAAGTCATAGATAGAATATGATTAATTCCCAAAGTTATAGAGAACTCCTGGCACTCATCAGGTCTTTCTTTGGCTATGAAAGCAAGTGTGTTTATAGAATACAATTTATAACAGGACACATTTGTTTGCATTTGGTAAATGAGTATTTCTCAAACCTGGAATGTGTTTATTTTTTCAAACCTGCAATGTGTTTACTGCAATATCTTTGGGTAAGGATTAATAATGGTGCCATATGCCTGTGTATTTCTGAACCAGGTGGCTGTCAATCACGTATAGGGGGCTCCAGATGAGCAGAGGTTCAGTTACAGCAACAAAAAATTCTCTTATAATATGCACATAGCACATCCTTGTTTTCTTTTTCTTTGACTTTCTTGTTCAGTTCCAAATACCATTTGGGTATCAAATATCTATTCTTAGGTGATCATTCAGTACTCAATAAATAGATATTTTAAAAATATATGATTGAAAGTCAGATGTTACTGAGCAAAGAACATCAATAATAACATAATTCTTTCTGCAGTGCTAGCTAAGTTGCTAATACTGTACATCTCTTGCAAGAATACAGAGACTAGTAGGTGCTCTATCATTTATTTCCCTAAACATCCATAGAATCATAGAATCACAGAATGGTTAGGGTTGGAAAGGACCTTAAGATCATCTAGTTCCAACCACCTGATATGGGCAGGAAAAACTCACCCTAGACCGTGTTGCCCAAGGCTCTTCCTTTCCTGGTGTTAATTTGTTCCTAAATTATGTAAGTAATTTTATATTTCCCACAATCTAACGAAGAGTACAAGAAAGGGTTAAGCACAAACATACCTAGACAGTAAGGGTTGTTGACAATTTATTGTGGTATTCAGAAGTGTTAACTACATATCTTCTATGAGACCGAATATCAAATATGCAGGCTGAGCAAGAGACATAACAGAACTACTGAAACTCAACATACCACTCAAGTTGCTTTATTAAACGCATAATGATATTTCTATGAATGCTTCTGTCTGTTGTGTGCACTGTATAAATTACTAGTCCTAACAGGGGATAAGAACTTGGAGGGATTCAAGTTTAAAAAAAAATAAAAACTTCCTCTTGTTTCCTGTGAGAACCTGTGAGAAATCCAAATCCAAAGTACCTGAAGCACTCTGGATTTATACATTATTTCTTAACTGTCTTTTACAAGCTCTGAGCCATGTTTTCTAAAGGTGCCTCTTGTGCAAAGCAAAATCTTAGTCTAGACTTTAAATGCCAGTCTAGAGCACTCTCTTACCAAATAGAAATTTCATAAATTTTGTTATATTGTTCTCCTAATTAGATTTTGTTTTCTTGTTTGTCTGATATATTTTTGGCTCATTTAAAGGAAAAAACTAAATTCTAAGTCAAAAATAAAGGGACATTTCCTCTAGAAATTCTATTTAAATAAAAAAGTTTTATATACATTTGGAAGTATATTTTCTTATTTATTACAAAATTTTGTCAGCATAAAGACTTCCCTAAGGGAAAAGGAAAATTAGTTGTATTCTGTCATCACTGGAGGTGGTAGTCTGAGGTCTAATAGTTCAGCTAAACATTTTTTCTTGATTTGAGCTGATAGAAAATAAATGTATTTCTTCATGAATGACCTGTCATCTCATGGACAGTTGAGTCTTTATTCATTATGCCCCCATTTTTCAATCAAGATAGTTTTCAAACTCTGCAGTTTAGAAAACATTTATTGAGGAGAAAAATGTGGTTCTTCATGCCTTCTGTATGACAGTATCTATGGCATGCTTGCATGAGATATTTAACTTCGAGCACCATGTTTTATTGGAAAGGCTACTATTAATAGATGCAAAGCAATTAAAAGCAGCTTAGTTCATAACTTTCTGTGATTTTCGTTTGCCCTCTGAACAGTTTTTCTCCTAATGAATTACTTATTCACAGTATATGGATCAATCCATGTTATCATCAGGAAAGAGAATGTCAACCTGACTAAGTTTGGTTGTTTCGTACACAGTCAACTAATTTTGTAATAGGTAAAGAAGCAAAATAAAAAAAAAAAAGTATTCTAAAAGATTTACAAGGATTTCTTTTTTCTCCACAGGCTCCTTTTAGTGAAGCAAATGTAACCTGGATTTTGTCATGTGACCTTGGCACTTACTGTCAAGCCCTTCAGATAGCTGTTTGATTTGGCAAGGTTAAAATGTAAGTGAAATTTTAAACATTAAATCAAAACACTTTAAGAAAACAGAAACTTCTATATTTAGTAGCCATTGTTATTAATATTATGTATTAAAACATCTGACTTCTGCAAAGGTAGGGGCTCTTTGAATCTGTTTCAAAACATATTGCCTTGTTTATTTTTTTGTGGTAGATTCTTAGTTGAAAGTTGAAAATACCCACAGGAACTAGATAAGTGGAATTTTTCTCTATATGACTTGGTATCATCAAAACAAGAATTCAAGTTTTGAAATCTACTATATGTGACAAATGTCAAATGAAAAGCAGGGTGCTGTATAAAAGTCTAAAACACCTGCTCCATCTATGGATTTGCAAAAAAGGCAAGTGTAGTTCCTTGATTTGTTTGTTTATTTGCTTGGGTTTTGCTTGCTTGTTTGTTTGTTTGTTTCTAAAGTTGCAAATAAAGACTAGCCAACCTTAATTGAAATAATCAACTGATATGGAAAGAGTTAAATACGCACAAGGCTGACAAAGCTGTCGTGTCAGGGCTTGGTCATTTATATGACACTGGGTGTCTTTTGTGAAATAAGCCTCATGAAAGCCAGGGTTTTGCTAGACAGATTAGAGAAAGAAGAGCTATGTAATCAGTACTTTTCACTAAACATAACATGTAAAATTCTTCCTTAAAACATTAATATAAATCAAGAGAATTTAAATGCATGCTATATTAATCAACATTTCTTTTATAACTCAAAAAAAGACATTTTTCATCCTTTACATTTTTGTGGGTTGGATATTGCCTCAAGGAGAAAGAAAGTTCATGAATAATTTAAAAATCACCAGTTTTGTCTCTGATAATATCAAAGAGAAAGGCTTTCAAAGCTTGTTATATGTAATATGTTCCAAGTAATATTGTTTGTTAAAAGAAGTCTATTCTCTTGTACTGGGGTCCCCGGTATGATAAAGACATGGAGTCCAAAAGGTAACCATAAAAATGATCAGAGGACTGGATCACTTCTCCTGTGAAGGTTGAGAGAGTCTGGTCATTCAGGCTGGAGAACAGACTTAAGATGTTATTGCTGCATTTCAATATAAAGGTGGGTTATAAGTTAAGATCTAAAAAGACTTTTTACCAAGGCCTGTAATGACAGGACAAGGGCCAATGATTTTACATTGAGAGAGGGTATGTTTCGATTGAAAGTAAGGAAGAATTTTTCTTTATGAGAAGGGTGACGGGACTCTGGAATAGATTTCCTAGAGAAGCTGTGGATGCCCCACTCCTAGAAATGTTGAAGGTCAAGGTGGACAAGGCTTTGAGAAACCTGGTCAAGTGGAAGGTGTCCCTGCCCATGGGAAGTAGGTTGGACTAGGTGATCTCTGTGTGTTCCTTACAAACCAAACCATTTATTCTACTATTCTACTGTGTTTATGAAAACACTTGGAAAACATTCCTCATCTTTATAAAGAATTCCAAAGTCCCGATAAAAATTGTACCCTTGGTAATGCAAAAAAAGGTTGACTGACTCAAAAAAATATGTAAGCTGCTATTTATAAAACATTTTATTACAATGTTTTGAAGAAAACTTCTTTTCTTAAATGCCATATCAATATTATGAACACCCTTCCATCTTCCGTTATTCTTAGGATTGACTTCGTTATCCATTAATAATCATATAATCTCTGAATGGTTAGGGTTGGAAAAGGAACTGAAGGTCATCTAATTCCAGCCCCCTGCCATGGGCAGGGACATCTCATACTAGAACATATAGCCCAAGGCTCTGTCCAGCTTGGCCTTGAATACTGCCAGGGATGGAGCATTTACCACTTCTTTGGGTGACCTGTTCCAGTGCCTCACCACCATCACAGTAAAGAACTTCCTTATATCTAAGCTGAACTTCCCCTGTTTAAGTTTAAATCCATTAACCCTTATGCTATCGCTACAGCCCCCGATGAGGAGTCCCTCTTTGCCGTCTTTGTAGGCCTCCTTCAGATACTGAAAGGCTGCTATGAGGTCTCCAAGCAGCCTTCTCTTCTCCAGGCTGAACAGCCCCAGCTTTCTCAGCCGGTCTTCATACAGGAGGTGCTCCAGGCCCCTTATTATCCTCATGGCCCTCCTCTGGACTTGTTCCAACAGTTCCATGTTCTTTTTATGTTGAGGACACCAGAACTGCACACAGTACTCCAAATGAGGTCTCACAAGAGCAGAGTAGAGGGGCAGGATCACCTCCTTCGACCTGCTGGTCACACTCCTTTTGATGCAGTCCAGGATACGGTTGGCTTTCTGGGCTTGTAGCACACACTCATGTTCATGTTCATTTTCTCATCAACCAACACCCCCAAGTCCTTCTCCACAGTGCTGCTCTGAATCTCTTCTTTGCCCAACCTGTAGGTGTGCCTGTTACTCCCATCACTGAGGTGTAGGACCTTGCACTTGGCATGGTTAAGTTTCATGAGGTTGGTATTAGCCCACCTTACAAGCGTGTCAAGGTCCCTCTGCCTTTAATGTCTTTTTGACTAACTCATAATGATATCAGAGATCTGTTTTAATCTTTTTATTTTCCTGTTAACTTCTTTTTACCATTATTCTTATTTTATATCCGCTTTAGTCTCTTCTGTTGATCTTTTCGTTATTGACATAAAAAGTAAAAGTTCAATTCATAACACTAGCAAAATAAATTGTTGAAAGCTTTGTTTTTTCCGGGAAAATAATATCTGTCTTGTCATGCCTTAAAGATGTGTCATGCATGTGTTGCCTCTTCAAACATTTTACTGACCCATCATTATACTTACATTTTAAGTCAAAATTAGAAATCTTGTCAAAAATATGAAAACATGCAAATCTATAGAATAAAAACTCCAGGGTTAAGATGCATTTATTCTGAGCAATCACACTGTGAAAAATTTGCTAAGTGAATGTTCTAAGAATTTTTATCTTGAGAATTTTAACAGTTTCTACTGGGGGTTTGGTGTGTAATTCTAGCTAAAGGAAAAGGGAACTGGATACTTCAGTGGAATGAAATCAATTATTACACAAGGCCTGTCTTCACTCAGTCCATTATAGGTATCAGTATTAAAAAATAGCATAGTTCTCTGTCAAACTCTAATATACTTTTTAGAAACAGAATTCAGGGAATGTGACTGAACATACTTCTGTCTCAAACTCATAAGCAGAGTAAAAATCATCATAATGAAAAACTGAAGCCTAGAATAATAGTAACACTAATTGTGTGTAAATATTAGTGCCAAGAAATTGAAAGTGGAGAAAAGTTTCTGGAGGAAAAAAAGATATTACCCCTACTGTACCAAATTATTAGGATATTGGAACCACAGACCTAGTATTAAGGTGATGTTTTTTAATCCAGATTACTGTCAGTTAATTATTGAGAGATTTTTTATTACTTTTATATCTTTTTGAAACACACATTAATACCTCCTGACAAAACTGGGCCTAATAAGAAGCCAATAAGACTCTAAAATCATTATGCAAATTTATGATCCAGATAAATAGAACAAGTCAAAACTTGAAAAATAATTTATTGGATGAAAAGAAATTAAGGATTACTTAGGAACCTGACATTCATTTAGTGTTAGTAAGAATTATCATCAGTTATTCCACCTCTAGTATTTGTGGCAATCAACACTGATAATTTTTTAACAAGATTATGGAGACATGTTTCTGTTCTGTATTCCTTTTCTAAAGCCTTTGCTACCCATTAGTAGTAGCTCATTTTTAAGATAGATAAATTTATTTGCAAATAGATTCTTGCTTTTTTAATTTTAATGTAGTTTTCCAGTACTTGAGTTAAAGACACTGTTAGAAATCTGCTGACACTCATTTTTTTCTAGGCCATTGAATTTCACTTGCACTTGACTTCATATTAAGTTATGAATAAAAAAGAAAATATGTAATTCAACAGAGAAAACAATTTCCCTGAAATAATTGTCAGTATAGAATCATAGAATCATAGAATAGTTAGGGTTGGACAGGACCTTAAGATCATCTAGTTCCAAGCCCCCCTGCCGTGGGCAGGGACACCTTACGCTAAATCATATCACCCAAGGCCTCGTCCAATCTGGTCTTGAACACTGCCAGGGATGGAGCATTCACAACCTCCCTGGGCAACCCATTTCAGTGCCTCACCACCCTAACAGGAAAGTATAGGAATATTTTGGCAATATCAGTATTTTACTTATATGTTAGGAACACAAGACGTACTTTTTCAAGTGGTAAATTTGCTGTTCAGTCTTCGTGCATTGCAAAACTAATTCCAATTCATGCTCTCTCTGGTCACAAGAAGAAACATGACAAATCTTTATTATATTTAGCTACAAGTCATTTAGTTTCCCTAGTTTTTTATTATATATAATCTTCTTTATCTATCTTCCAGTTTTGTATTGCACTGCATTTTGAATAAAATAGTATCTGATGCATCTAATGTAAAAATATAATATGAATATATAATGTAAGTGCTTGCTTTTTTTTTTTTTTTTAATTTGTGGGAGTTAAATCCTTAATGGAATGGATTTGTCATATGAAATGACTTTCTGGTTTCTATTTTGATAGGCTTATGTATAGCTCCTAATAAAATCACCAACACCTATATCCATCTAATATTGCATACACCAGAGAGAAAGATATACAAAATTGAAATGTGCAACATATTTTACTTGATTGGCTATAAAGTCCCTGATGCATTTCAGGAGGTGAAAATAGTGTTTCTTGGTGTATTTCAGAAATAAATCCTTTATATCTGATTAAAATGCAGATGAGCATCATAAACTATTGTAATTTGAAAGGGTTGATCTCCTGATACAATCTTCTTCAATCTGCTTCAGGTGCAAAGCTTAGAGGGAATTTGCTGCAATTACTGAATGTAGTTTGGGTTCAGGTGCAATCCAGCAACCTGAAAGTCCCTATGTGAGCAAAAGCTCCTTTTTAATACTTCTGCTGTTTCTGTTACTTCAAAAATCCTGAAACTTTATAATAAAATCCTTGTTAGTTATGAGAAGATATGCAACTGCTA